CAAATTGTGACAGGAAAGTTATGCGCGACCGTGAAATTAATGTCTTCCCCGAGATCGGGACTTAATAGCTCGTTATGTACTTCGCGTGCCACATACATATACGCGCGTGCAATTCCGCGAGCGGATTTATGAAGTGACGAAGTCTCGCGCGCTTGCTCGCTCGCTAAATTGAATTCGACTTGCCCCATTTCTTTGGCTCGTGTAAATCATCGGGAAATCGATCGCCGATATTCTCGTTTAAGTCTCCCCAATTCATGCCATTTAAAACATTTTACATCTAATGCGTTGCACGATTAAGTAGGAAGGCGTCTTAATGAGTCTTAATAAGAGAGTGTCATGAATGATACATTTTATGCCGAAAATAATCTCGAGATGTAGTATTCAAGGGGGTAACCACTTCATGTAATCGTGAGACAGTGTCTCCGAAATTATTATGAAATTCTTACGAAATCCCCGTGTAATCGTTTTGTCTTCAATTAAAAAATTTTTTTCTTGTTAGACAATAAACATTAAACCTGAACATTTTCTCAGCTTGTTTTAATTTTCCAAAAAACATTTACTTCTTTTAGCGAATTGAAACGTCGATACACCTTTGCGCGTAAATTTGGAACAATCACCAGTAGATACAAATACAAAATTACTTTTCATTAAGACCACAGTTAGACTAGTGGGAAAAGTGGGAAAGCAAGGAAACACGTTTTCTACCTAACCGAATACTACGATCCTAACTGAAATTACTTGTACAAGCAAATACTTCTTAGTAAAATAAGAAAAATATGCTTTGAGGAAATCCAGCAGCTCTTTGAAGTCTAACAACGTTACATATTTTTAAACGTGCATATAAGAAAATGATTTGCAATTAGATGAGATTGTTTGTAATCAAATAGAATCGTACGAAGTCAAATGAGATCGTGTAATCGGTGGGACAACATTTTAGCTAGTGGTTACCCCCTTGGTCGTGTTAGCTTGTAATACTTTACGATACTTTACAGAATGAAACAAATGGCCAGATTGCCCGTTCTTTCACTATTTTGCCTTCGAGTATGCCTCCTGATCTGTATCACGCTTGCCATCATCTCAACACCCAGCTTGGGAGAAGTTAACAAACATGATTGGAACAAAGCGACGTACACGAAGGAAAAATCTGGCTCGATTAACAACTCGGTAAAACCAGCCATTTCTCCACATCAGTGTGACGATAAGGTAGACCAAAATATGTTTACGAATGTGTTTAATACGAAATTACTTCGATATTGGATCAATCTAGAATCGCTTTTTTTTCTACTCGATGTCGTGCGCAATTTTCTCGATGGAGAAACTTTCTACTGCTAGATCTCACAAAGCGAGTGTATCGTCGCGTTTGATAAGAGAAACGATATCTGATTCGGCCGAGAGGGACGACAGATTCCTGTTCTCAAGCGCGTTTTAATATCTCAAGCGTTAATTTCTTTTGGCGAAAGACTCACGGAACGACGCACCGTGCCGCAGAGCATCTCTCCCGCCAGCTCTCAGTCTTTATGCCGAATGACAAAATGACAAAGGGTTGGTCGCCCCGGGCTAGCGATATTACCGTTTCCGTTTCGGAACTATGCGAACTGTCGTCTATCGTTCCTCTCTTCGGCCGCGTATTGCGGCCGAAAATGTCTTGTGATTGATTACGCCCGCCGCACACTTTCGGTACTCAACTCCAGCAATGGCCGATTGATGGAGAACCTACGAAAAGGACCGTCACGCTCGCGAACGGAATTGGAACGTCTCAAAATATTGTTAATTTCACAATGGAAATAGACAACGATTAAAATATTTGAAATCGACTGCAAATAATTCAAATGGTGTATAACGAAATAGTAAAATATGAACTTTTCTCCCTACTGTGTTTCTATAAAAAATATTTAATCGCTATATCACATATCGCTCAGCATACAATTTATATTTAAATGTTCTAATAAAATTAGACGTCTCTCAACAAAGGCATTTCATCATCGCAGGCAATTTAATAAAAAGAATTCTAGTCTCTGTGGAGTGCAGAGCTACGTTGAAAGGGCAGACCGAGGGCGAGACGGAAGGCGGGTCTTTATTTAGTTAAATGCCGCGTGTAATTGAGTGTAAGATCTTTTTTTTGTTCGGCGAACCGACCACGACGTTGTGTCCTGCCGCGAAACCGCCGCGCGTCGCGAGGCTCAAGTTTTCCACCCCTTTTCCGCAGCGCGCTAGCTGCCAGCCACCTGATGGCACAAGGGCCCACCGGGAATGAGATGCAGATTGCCAGAGGCCACTTCAGGCCACGCTGTGCCGGGAGAGGAAGGGGGGGGGGGGAGTGAATTTTTAATAATACCGCGCCCCGTGCCCGCGGCTGCCGGATGTAGAATTCCATTGTTTTGGCCGCGCGAGCGCGTCGGAAAAAGGACGGAAGCGAAATAGTATGTACGCGATGCGTTACGGGACACCCACTCGGCATTATTATAACGCGCTAACGTGTCGGCGAGGGGGTGACAGGAAGGGATTGTCAGCGACAGGATATTCTGCCGTCTTCGCGCGGCAGGAATGCCGCTGCAGGACGTTCTAAGCCCGTCGCCGTACATTCAAGAGTCATTTGTGCGTTGCGTGAAATGTTAATTTTTTTTTCCAGTCAGTCTTATCACGCGACGGAAGTAAGATCGGAGCTAGGAGACTGTCCTCGTTTTAACTCCAATAATTACTTTATTCGAATGGACGAAAACCGTTCCAAAAAAATGGCGCCCAACTATTCACGCTTACTAATGTGAAATATGTTGATGCGTAATACATAAACCACAAAGGATTATTGGAGCTTACTTGGACAAGGCGCCTCGCTCACATATTAAAAGGACAAAAACACGCCGAGGATGACTAATAAGTACACCTATCCAAGTGGGGGACAGACCGATTTTGATGAGTGTTGAATATGTTGTTTTTTAGCTCAAAATAAAGGACATGTATTTTTTTTACACGTGCCCATACGCACTTTTAGGTGGTGAAATACCCCTTTGAAGAAAATCTGATTTTCTCTTTCGGGGCGCATATTGGCGAAAGTGTAAGAGCGTTAAAAAAAATTTTTTTTAATGAACGTTAAATGGTTTCAATACTTTAAAACTATGAGTAAAAAGTTTTTAATTTTTTTTTCAAAATACTACCATCACTCAACATTTTTTATTACAATCACGTGAATTTTTAATGTTTTATTGACAATCAATTGCTCGCATTATTATTGGTCTTGTACCCTTGATATTTTATTTAAAAAAAGGACAAGCTTGTTTTTAGTTAATTCATTAAAAAAAAATTTTTTTTAGGTCTTAATCTACAGATTTCCATAAACTAATTCTGATGCGCGGTAAAGGTACTAGAAAATTGATGTATGCTTGTGAATTAGCTTACTAAACTATGACATTGTCTCGCACAGGTTGACGACAGTCGAAATTATTCCGCGAATGAATCTGTGACGATCGACGAGGAGAAAAATAGCGTAGCCCTAAATAGATTTCTGGAAGATGTTCTAAATGCGCAGAACGATTTCAAGTGGATAGATCACGCCACGCATCATATTAATCACAGAACTCATCTAGATGAGTAAGAGCCTTATGTTTTGCCTGTTGCTTTGACGCGAGAGAGTGCGAGATAGATAAGAAAACAAATTAAATTCAATATGAATTGTTGGTGAGCTTAACTCAATTTCCATAAATTTTAATCGCTACAAGTGTCGACTTCAATTGGAAAAAGTTACCAACAGCCTCGATCCACATTTGCATTCCACATCAATTTAGAAACGCGCCAATTTTTATTGAGTGATTTAATAAGAATATTTCCGATATAGTCCGCTGGCGCATACAAACCAGTACTTTACGGTATCCGTCAACAGGGGGGATGTCCTAGAAAGGGCTGATATCGGTTATGGAAGTAGGTTACGCGGCAAGAGGGGCTTCGATCGGAATTATGAAACGATGTGGATGCTGCAAAAGAAGAAATACGGACGGAAGAGTACTCGCGATGTTCCTCAGAGAGTCTACTTGGATAACGACATGACATTTAAGAAAGACGCTGATAACGCCGACTTCGCTCCTTATCAATCCCGTGGCACGTAAGCGACGGAACAGTGTTCATATATTCGAATATATTGCAAAGTTACAATTTACTTTGCTGAAATTGTAAGTTAGAAAGAGTTATTACGTCTACGCAAGCATCTAAGGATTGTTAAAATATTTTTGGCGACAGAATAGTCACGCACATCTTTAAAAAATTTCCATCGAATGGAATACTAAATAGTGTTTCCGATTACGTTTTTCGATTAAATTTATCCGACGAAACGCAGTTACCGATGAAATTTGATCGAAAAACCGATCATATCCGTTTATTATTATGCGATTATTCGATTATATTTAATCGGACATTTTTCTCAGTGTACCTTCAACGAAGAAATGTGAATCGCCAGTAGTTGATTAACGATAAAAAGAATTGTTAGACGACTTTAGACTGGCAGATGGCTTATTTATTTAAATCCGACGTTTCGATCATACGGGTTGTGGTCCTTCTCAAGGAATTCAACAATATTACGCCATTGATATTAAACTAAAAAATACAGGAGGCTTGACATCCATCTCTGGGTATTGCTCGGAGAACTAGGAGGCACGTCCATCCCATGTAACAACCGCACTAGAACGTTTTCCATATATATGGATATATGGAAATCCACTAAACCATCTGCCAGCCTAAAGTCGTCTAACAATTCTTTTTATCCTTACTTTCATCTTCCAAATCACATCTCCCTAAAGCGATATTCCTTCGAGTATTATAAACAATTTTGAGTCAAATTAAACGTATATATAATTTATAAAATTATCTGATTTAAATCAATCGATAAAATTTCTCATAGCTGTACCTAATAAATCTTGGAAAAGCTACCACATGTTTCTTATAGTAGAGATAGATAGAAATTCATTCCACTCTTGAACGGTAGGTTAGATAGAGCTGTCTACGACGGAGAAACGATGGCCGATCAGCCACTGAAAGATTGGACTGGAAAGAAAAATCTTCATTCCTCGAGCGACTGGTCGAATTCTAATGAGAATCCCAAAGTGACTAACGGCGAAAGTATATGGCTTCGTGATTCCGAACCTCGCGAAATTCTCGTCAATTCTGGTACTATCAAATCAATTAAAATGTTATAAATGTCGACCTAATTCTAAGTAGCGTATTAAACATGATCACTCAGACTCGAGCAAGGACGAAAAGTTACATGTCGGTACCGACCCGCGGGATCAATTAGAAGTCGTATCGTTGCACGAACCAATATATGCAAATGATTTCGCCGCTTTACGGGGACCTCCGGTTTTAATCAGAAATGATACAACTCGAAATGCACCGTCATCGCTGGAGTCTTTGAAGAAAACTGTGCTGGCATTAAGAAATAGTTTGATGTTGGGCTATACAAGGAAAAATATAATATCGAGAAGTAAAAATCACTATTAACGTTAACTGTTACTGCTATTGCTACGGTCAACTTTTTCAGGGGGATCTAACTGGTGGAAGCCAAGATCGAGCGTCGAAGTATACGATTTTGGAGGTGATTTTGATCATTCAAATGAAGAAACAATACGAAAGCTAAAGAGAGCAAAAAATGCAGAAAATGAAGACGAGGGTGGATCGAGGATTTTTCAAGGAACAGAGTTTCAAGGATCATATGGGAAACAAGACTCGAAAGAACCGCACAATCGCAGCAAACGCAGTAGGAATTTCGTCGCAGATTCGAATTATACAAATAATCGGAGAGACATTCCTGAAAACAACAGGAAACCTCAAATGATTAAAAACGTTTTCGAAAATGCAACTACACAAAATACTGAAAAAGTTGTCATGAAATTGTATTCCAGTTATTTCAACGATGGAAAAAATTCGACAAACGTTTCAAACAAAACAAACATTTCGGATTCACAGTATTTGTTAGACGAAGGGTCTCTTTTAAATAATTATCTCAATAATTCCACAATTACCCCGTCAATAGCTAACAAAACACATATCTCTGAACCAAGATACCCTTCACATACAGAGGCATATTTAAATGATTATTTCATCGACGACAAATCATTATTTGTCATTAAAACGGATCTTCAAACGCATTCACCACAACGTATCACCAAAAGTAAAGTTCCAACGAACTCGAAGGAAATCAGTCAACAATCCACAATTGAGACGACATTAAAAAGTATAGAACATAGAGTGGAGAATCGTGCTGAATCGCCAGATTTCGAAAAGAATTCATTCACTGTACCGAACGCATTCACCGATCCGATAAATGATATCGATGATTCTGGGAAATTTCTGAAAAATCGAAGCGGCGAGGAGAAATTAGTAGTCGCGGAGCAAAAAATATCGCGACTCGGTATGAATGACGGACAATCGAAGGGCACGGAAAAGGAGATTCCCCGGGGAAATACATCGCATGGCTTCGGCATCGCGACAAATGAATTGTGGAGCTGCGTCGAAACAACCATGGCCATTAGAGAAAAAGAGATCGAGGCAGACGGAACGCGAAAGCAAAACCGCGAACCGATACCCGGTGTGATCAAGGTCTGTGAGCCTCGAGGGCGTCCGTATCAAAAGCAGGAGGCAGAGACAACGACGAGATTGTCTCGGCGAATGGGAAAAGATGGAATGTCCGTGGCGAGGATGAAGACGCTCGAAGATGAAGTCGACAAGTCAAGAAATACAAATGCAAAGGAGGACCCTTCGACTTCGCCGATTGATTCTGTCACCGATGCGGCAATGAAGCCGGAAGCCGCATATATAAACACGTCTGAGACTGGTGAGTCGATAATACTGAGGAATCTCACTTCGGTAACTGTAGACAACGATTTGCTAAAGCAGCAACAGATGGTTCCGTCTCTAAGTGCGGAGAATAGGTACGCAAATAAATCGAATGGAAATTTGGACACCGACAGAATCGATATTCGTATTCTCGGGTCAAACGGAAATGAGACTATGAATGTAAAGGAAGGTACACGAACTACAATCAAGGCTCACGAGTATCACCGATCCGATAATAATTTACAGAGGAAATTATTATGGACTTGCACGATTCCAGGCGACGGTGAAACTAAGCGAGCTTCATCGAGCACGAGATCTGTTTTTAATAACGTGAGTGAAAGTGATATCGAAAATGTCACGAATGAGAATCGACGGCACAGTGAAGTAATCGGTTCTGCAAATTTAAGAAAATTATTTACTAAAGTCAACCGCGAAGATAAAATTGAAGGAAGTCAAATATCGCAAGGTGCTTTAAATTCTCAGATATCCGATACAAATCATTATGCTCGTTACAAACGGGCTTCTATATATCCTTATGAAAATCTCGAATCCAGTAATGAAGCAGACTCCGAAAATATAGCAGTCGAGAAAGAAGCGGCGATAAATCACGGTGAGAAACAGGAAAGCAATGAAGACTATCTAAATAAGAATGTCGAAGAACTTCAGGGGAGCTATAATGACAGAGAAGAAGATATATTCCAAGGTATAACGCTTTGATGATTTGTCGTTCATAATAAAAGAAAATAACGTATAATATGCTTACAGATGATGACAAAGCGATGGAAAGCAAGAGAGGGGGACAATCTTCACTCAGGCAACAAATCGACCCTATAAGAGCTAAAGTTGACATGTTGATTAAGCAAAAGCTTAACAAGAAACATAAGGACAGAGGCGTTTACAGGAAAAAGAGACATAGTATGCTGGTCGAATATTATGATTATGACGATGACGAAGAGCAAGAGAGCGATGCGCCAATAAACCAACAGGAGACTCGAAATAAAGACAAGCTGTCACTTTACGCGAAGATAAGAAAGCGCGGTAAGAACGTAAGCACGATAAAATTCACATAAAAAAATATACAATCAAAATATAATAAATCTTTTTTAAATAATTGGGCATCGATATTTGATCGCAGACGGCAAGTCGCCAAGTAAGGCAGGCGGCTTAGGGAAGAAGAAGAACGAAAACGCCGAAGCGGTGATGAAAGAAGAACTCAGAAGGGCACGTGTGAAGAACAAGGAGCCAAAAGAAGAAATTGTCATTGATCTTGGCAAACGTAAGAATAAGACGAGCGATCGAAACGATAAGAAGTCATTCGGTTCGTTAGGATCTAGCTTCGAAAATGTGTTGAATGAGGAAAGGCAATTATCGACCGAGGAAAATTCGGATAAAATTGACCAGAGCAAGGATTTTCAGAATAATCTTTATCCTGAAGAAACAGCTGCCGTGAAGTCGAAATGGTAAATCGGATTATTTTGCGAGCTAACGGTGGTCATATATTTTATTCTATTTCAAGTATAACTTTATGCAAGTGTATGTAAGTGCATGCAATTTGAGGCTATTGATGCGAACGACCAAAAAATAGATGTCTGATAGGTTGGATGAACCACTTGAGGACAGAATGGCATTGTCGAAGAAGAATTCAGAGCCACTAGAAGACAGCTGTGAGAAGAAAATTAGCTTAAACGAACCTTCGGAGTACACGGCCAATGTAGACGTAAATCCCGATGTTATAAAAAATATTTTATTGGACATTCGGCCTATCGAGATTTTGGAACAAACCAGAGAGTTGGGAGCTTCGAAAGACTTCTACGAAGATTTTGGAGACGACCGGTATAGATGCTTCAAATTATGTGCATTATAACGCGTAAAGTAAATATGTATCCAAAAAAAGTTAAAGAATATTGCTCGATTGGTAACTTGCAGAAATAGCTTATTTTAAATCCCTTTTAATTATCTCTTTTTATATTTTTACGTAAAAATCAGACACTAAATGTCAATCAAAAAAGCTTATAAATAAACTCGGTTAAACTTATTTGCAAAGGCTATATAAATGTGTGATTCACAGAATGGTCGAGAGATCTAATGATTTATTTCGTAGACCAGATGATCATTACTATTATCATCAAGAGAACGATTCAAACAATATCGAGTCTCTGTATGAGGAGTTGAAGAACGTGTACGATTGGCCCGATAGTGAATTAAAGAGTGGAGGATCCCGACTCAAAGGCGATCAAAGACTACACTATGAATCAGATGATACGCTTGATACAAATCCCTCTCAATTACAGCCATTGAACGATAGATTCCTCGGCTCGGTTCAAAACGGCATTGCACAAAGAAGATTCCAATCGATTAATGCATCTTGGATGAGTAAATATTGAATGCAATCATCGGGACTAAAGGAATTCTTACTTATTTTCACTCTAATCGGATCTATCTGCGATTTTCAAACATCTTATATTAATCAGGATTTCAATCGCAAATTTATTTCTATCTCTTTTTCGCTTCTTTCTCACGTTTTCTGTAGTTTACCGTCGTTCTTTTTCTAACGGCAATAATTTTATGTTCAATCAATACCTGCGAACACAAATAATACTGCGGCGAGCAATTATTTCGCGCTTAAAGTCACGGATGATATGTTTCCAGGCGATTCCGAGCAGAGCTCGACAGAGGAAAATTCACCAAATATGTTTTCCGTCAGACCAACCACCGAATCGAGAGGGTCCACGGTACGCGTATGATTACTATTTATCACGATTTATTTTCTTCACAATACAATCGCAACATCGTAAAGTAGTTAATTGGTATAGATTTCAGAAGATAAAAATATCCCATTTCCCAAGGGGCAATCAATAATCGATAAGGATTCCGGTTCTCCGCACGAAAATAGCAAATATGTCGAGTCCAAGGCACACGAAGTACTCAAGCGAAATCTAAATTTGGAAAAACAGTCGGCAATTAGTTCGCGAGACTTGCAAGACGAGTCGTTCGTGGAATCTCTAGATTGGCATGATGATTTCGATGATAATGTGAGGGTTAGATTAGGCAGAGGATTGAAAGCCATAAACGAAACAGTGACTTCCGACTTCGATAAAACTTACGATCACGATGATAAATTGGACGTGGCAAATGCGACTAATGTAAATTCTACGTCTGCTCGAGTTTCTTCGCAAACTATTTACGACAATTCGTCGATGTCACAAAATCGGCACGGCAACACGGCTAAGGATTTATACGATATATTTAACAATCGTGACGTGTCTGCTCAAAGCGTTAAAAATGTTCAAGAATCGATTTTAATGAATACGGTTAATATGGATGGCGACAAGGATCTCGAAGCTGCCGAGCAAAACCGCGTAAATAATCGAACACCGAGAATCAGAAGGGCTGTTTCGTACCGCGCGTTTTACGACGACCTGAATCAGAATCAACGCGATTCCGACGAAATGGGCAGAAGTCTGGGCACCCGGTTCGATTCTCCGAATATCCTCAAAAATCGGCTCGATGGAGTGTACCGCGGATATGAGACCGGAAGCTGGAACAGTGACACGCGAGATCTTGATCAGTACTTGAAAATCCCGCGAAGCAATACGAGGAGAAAGAGGAAACCCGGAAAGAAGAGTAAGAAGAATAAGCACTCTTCCGGGAAACACGCGGGGAAAAGTAGTTCACGTTCTTCTTCAAGTAGAAACAGAAGACATCACGCGCATCGATCTGACATGTCGGAGAACGTTAACCGAAGTGATTTAAAGCCGAAGCCGAGGAACAAAGCCGAAGCGTCTCCTTTGATTGGACGTACCAGAATTCAGAAGAGCAAAACGGCCGAGCGAGGACTGCTTCGCGCAGGGATGAACGAGGCGTCGGGCGAAAAAGTGCTTTACGAGAACGCGGAGAATCAGAGTGTGAGTGAAAGAGCGATCGCTGATCGCATCATAGATCGCGCGACTGGATTAAAAAGAGAAAAGAATTAAGGATGATTTTTCAGACAGTGAAGCCGGAGGAGGACGGCGATGCACGGAGAAAGGAAATTACGCTGCTCCTCGCAGCCGACAACATTGACGACGAGTCGCAGATGGACGTGGCTCTTCACGGCGAACTGGCTGGGAAAATCGTAGAGCAAATATTCCAACAGGCAAGTAAAGGGCCGTGTCGCGCGATATCAAAGCTATTTTCGACGTCCTCGACATCCTTTTCATCGAAAATGAAAAATTATTTGACGCGCACAGCGTACACGGTTTTCTGGCACAAGGATGATTGATGATAATTAGTTCCGGTATTGCAGGTCCAAAAAAATGATCAATTGAAGGGCGTCTTTGGTCCTGGGCTTCACCGCGATCACAAAACGGAAGACGTGATAACGGGTAACACTTATCGACAAGGACTCGACCAAGATGGAGTAATTACGATATTATTTAGTACAAGGGACTCGCGTATGCCGTATAAGAAAGGGATTTTCATAATTTTCAATGTCTTTATTTCCTTCGTCGATCTGACTTAGACGAATCACACGGAAACGATAGTAAAGAGAGTTATGGGGCTCCTCGGTACGCTAATTCTAAATGAAGTGCAAGAGAAAACTTGCATTTCTTTATCACCGGGTATGAGAGAATTTTTAGGATGGATGCTGGAGGTGGATCGAGAGGAGGAATCGTTGCAAGAAGTATATTCCATCATCACCGAGTGCATATTAATTATGTGCATGCGTCGCACGCTTTTCAATCAATTGATAAATATTAATTTTTAATTTAGGCACCGCCGCTGCCATTGATCCGTGAGAAAATTATTCCGGAGCAAGACACGGGACACAAATTCCTGTTTGACAGCACTTCCGAGCCAGAGGGAGGAGAAAATATTAATGATCTACAGAAAAAGGTGAAGGTATTGGAAACTCTAGTGAAGGAATATAACGCCCTGACTGCAAGAGAGAAAACGAGGGTCCAAGCAGTCCACGATTATTTGGTAAGACTTCATTTATAAGATAACATATCATTATTTGTTAATTAATTCGACTAAAACTCGTAACAAAATTCTATACACAAGACAAAAGATATCTTATAAATGTTAGAAAGATAACAGAAAACTATGACAGGAAAGAATTTTATAATCAATTAGATGCGGCAGTTAGACCAGCTTTTGCGGTACATCGAAGCGCGAGAAACTGCGGAAACAAAAAGGAAGCCTACATCGGGGTTGATTGGCACGGCCAGAGCTGGAAGCGGAAACATCTTACAGTATCAAAGCGCAGTACCTAATGCCACGAATGCTGGCCACTCGATGACAAGAAAAGATACGTTCTCGTTGCCGATTGATACGCATCATCTTTTTCAGTTTAACAACGTCTCATTCGAAACGACAAATAAACGACTTCACGACAGTACGTAATATTTCTGGTGAATACACATATCATTTTTACAATAACCGAGAAAAATCTCCGAAAGAGAATATGTAATATAATGATATAAATTTGTTTCTTGTCCCTAGTTCACGGTTAAAGGGTATTAAAATTTCGGCAGAAAATGTGGTAAACAAATGTTATGGGCGCGATGTTCCTTTAACTACCGATATCGGGAAATTGGTTATCGGAAATGTTTTCGGTCTAAATACCACGACATGATAAACTATTTCTGCATCGAGCCGATAAAAAAACCATGACGGTTTCGGCCGAACTTTCAAACTCCGCGTAATTACATCCGCGTAATATCTCGTCCGAAAATTACACGACAAAATATTGGCTCAGTCATTACTTGGCATATTCTGTGATACGCCGGCAGTTAATTTGTTTTATTTATCATATTTTTGCATAATATTCCCCGGAGATTATGTAAGAGCGTAACAAATTTTTGCCCCACTGTGCTCTCCAATTTCTAGGTCACGCTGCATCTCGTCACAGAGAAACGCGTAGCCTCGATAAAATTCCATCGAAACGACGACGACATCGCGAAATGAAACGCCGCAAGTTCCGCAATCAGAAGAAGAACGGAAATCGTAAGAAATCGAAATACAGGCACAATAAATACCGCAAGCACCTGGATCGCGCGGGATCGCTGCCGGGATATAGGAAATCGCGACCGAAACGTGCAAATCCTGACGAAAACGATCAGGCTTCGCTTTATTATTTAAGCTACGAGAAGCCAAGAATTTACGATTCGTTCGATCTTGTCGATGCCAAGTTGCGAGGGAGGAGAAAGAAGAGGAAACGGGAATTAGTCGGTAAGAAAAACGCGGCAATTGGGAATGACAGGCTACCCGATTTGTTAGCAATAAAAGGGAAGAATCGCATGGAGGACGAAGTGATACTCCTCAACAAGCGCGAAGCTTGGAAAAGGGAGAATGAGGAACAGCTGGAGGAGGTCGCCTTCGGCAAAGACATGAGGAATTGCGCGAGGAGGGAGAGGGAGCGATTGGAGAAATTGACGGAAGGAGATAAACGTAAACCGATCAATGAGACGAGCTCCAGAATGAAGCGGGAGAACATAATTCGCGGGACATCGACTGACAAGGGTACAAATTACCCCGATAAATCTCACACGGCGTTCGAAATTCATGACGGCGGATCGTGGAATAATTCGGAGATAAGTAACAATAACGGCACGGGGCACGAGAATAAGCTAGAATTGGCTGAGCGAAGGATCAATGTTTTCGCGGATAACAAAACCAATGCGGCAATTGATTCCGCGGCTGCGGAAGCCAGCATGGAAGAAAAGTTAGCGACAAATGCGGGAGCCAATAACCAGGTTAAGGGAAAACTTGGCGCTATAAATCGCGAGACAAAAATTGACAAGGCGGACGGGAGTACGAGCTTTGTAAACTTGACGAGCGACGCGAAGCCTCCCCGGGTCTCGGAGGAGCGGCAGAAAGTTTCGGTAACGGAAAAAGAAGCAGATGATAACGCTGTAAAATTAAATCGAGCGACAAACTATCGACGCGCGGAAATAGATCCTGAAATCGAGCTGAAAAATCGGAGACAGGGACGAGAGAAAAGAATTTATGACGTCGCAAACTGGAAGATGACCGACTACTTTTACGATGATGATAAGCTTTCTAGAAATAAATTAAGGGAGAAATATGTGGCTAAGTTAGACGAACTAGGTAACCTAGATACGGATCCCGAGAATAATTTGGTGCTTCTGAGATTAAGAAATAATAAATGGTCGAATGACGTCGTCGAATGGAGGCTGCTGCCGATAATAAAACGATCGCCGTATTATGACGATCGCGCCTTATCAACAATTCGTTTAATGGAAAAAGAAACGCCTATTTTAAGCAGCATTAAAAACAGTCCAAGATTTTGGCGACCAAAACACCGTAGAAGAAACGGCGTCTTTAATAACTCGCCCATACTGAAAATAATCGACAACGTTAACTTTCCGCGCGAAATTCGTCGAAAAGCGAAGCAAACATCTGAGATGGAGAGGTTCGAGGATTCACGGATAGATCCCAGAATTATTCTTAAAGTTCGAGAGCCATCTCGACCAAGGAACAATAAAAGATCGAACGGCAATGCAGAATTCGGGACGCCCTTCGTATCGAAAGATCCTAATCGCGAATTCCGCGAGATGCCTCGATCCCGCGTACATCCGGAGCTCGGCGACCGAGTAATCTACGATGGAGTTGGTCCGCAATTGCCGGTGTGGCCGTATCGGTATTACGACGACTTTGCGGACTCATCGACGTCTTTTCACGTCGACCCGAATATTCGCGGAAGAGACGACGACACGTACCGATACCCCGCGATAACGTATCTCGAGTACGGCCCCTTTAAAAAGCGCCGCGCTCATGACCGACGATTCGCGGGGCGAAATAGATTCCGCTTGAGAGACCCGGCAGGGGAAGATGCCGTCGATTTTCCGAGGGATAATTTAGCAAACAAGAGCTCCAAGTCCAGATTTGCGCAGAGGAAGTCTCGCGCGGAAACGGACGAGTCGGCCCCTGCGAGTGGCGA